AAGGAAGGAAGGAAGGAAGGAAGGAAGGAAGGAAGGAAGGAAGGAAGGAAGGAAGCTAAACAAGCCATGGGGAGCAAATCAGTAAGCAGCACTGCTCCATGGTTTCTACTTTAGATCCTGCTTGAGTTGCTAGAGACTTTTACAGTACCAGATCCTTCCTCAGACCCGTATCATAAATTTCTTTTTTTCAGTCATCCTATAGATTCTATCTATATGGACTTTACAAAGAGTTTCAATATAGTCACATCTGACATGTATTTAGCTTACTTTGTTTCTCAAAGAGATTTATTATTTTATTTTATAATTAATTTAATTTTACATATCAGCCACGGATTCCCCTGTCCTCCCTCCGCCCACTCCCACCCCCAGACCTCCCCCCAAACCACCCCCCATCCCCACCCCATCCAAGGCAAGGTCTCCTCTGGGGAGTCAGCAGAGCCTGGTACACTCAGCTGAGGCAGGTCCAACCCCTCCTCCCTGCACCAAGGTTGAGCAAAGTGTCCCACCATAGGCACCAGGTTCCAAAAAGCCAGCTCATGCACTAAGGACAGGTCCCAGTCTCACTGCCTAGGGGCCTCTTAAACAGTTCAAGCCAAACAACCGTCTGACTTATCCAGAGGGCCTAGTCCAGGTCCATGGGGGCTCCTCAGCCATTGGTTCACAGTTCATGTGTTTCCACTAGTTTAGCTAGTTGTTTCTGTACTCTTTCCAATCATGTTCTCTTGCAATATCGCTTGCTCATATGATCCCTCCTCTCTCTCGTCGATTAGACTCCTGGAGCTCTGCCTGGGGCTTGGCCATGGATCTCTGCATCTGCTTCCATCAGTCACTGGATGAGGGTTCTATCATGACAGGGTGTTCAGCCATCCAATCATCAGAGTAAGTCAGCTCAGGCACCCTCTTGACCGATGTCCAACATTTTTGGTATAATCATGGAAATACAGATGAAAATCGGAATACACAGCCATTTGGGGAAATGTAAAAGCCAAATGTTGGAAAGGGTGTTGGAAAGAATGATGACCCAAGAGATTCACGACTTATACATGAGAGTAGTTATCAGGGAAACACTTTGGAAGTAGTCAGTGTTTTTCACACATTTACTTATTTAGTTTTTTTACACATTTTAAACACTTATTTTGTGTGTGTGTGTGTGTGTGTGTGTCTGTCTGTCTGTCTGTCTGTCTGTCTGTCTGTCTATGCACATAAATGCAACACTGCTCATCTAGTGAACTACATGCAAAGGTCAGAAGACAGACTGTGGAATTCAGTTCTCTACTTCTAGCAGACTAGGCATAATATTGAGCAAAACTTTTGGCCAACTCTTCCCAGCAGCCCTTAGTTGTCAGTGTCTCATATCTCTGGATCTTGCTTCTGGAACTCGAGTTTGGAGTTACCATAATTGCTTAGTGGGTTTTAAAAAGGAAGTTAGAGGCCTGGCACAGGAAACACATAGATGATTGTTGAGACTGGTACCTCACCTTCTTTCAGCTTTATAGGTATTTAACACCTGTTATTGAAAAGACCCTGTTGGTCTTGTAGCAACACAGAAAGATGAACTTACTTTAGTGGTATAAAGAATGACTTTCTAAGCCAGGCAGTGGTGGTACATGCCTTTAATCCTGACACTTGAGAGGGGGTGGGCAGAGGCAGGAAGATCTCTGAGTTTGAGGCCAGCCTGG